TTTAAGTGATCAGAAAGAAATGTTTTTATTTGTCTGCTTGTGAATTGGGTTATCTGCCTATCTTGTTTATGAAATTTGGGGCTGCCTTTCCCTCGTAGTGTTCGCCTCTCAAATCTTTCCCCGCTCCCATTTCCATATTTCTGCGTGCTTGTTCTTTGTTAATCACTTGGCAAGCGCTTATTTGAATATTAAAAATTTCTTTAATCATCAAAGGCAGGAGAACAGTCTCATGAATATTCATATTTTTCCCCCTCCTCAGACTGGATTCTAGTTCATTACCCTGCAGTAAAAGCCAAACAGCCATCAATCGCCCTCATTACAGGCTCTGGCGTTTTGATTGGCTGCCTGCTGCCCAGAGCTTTTTTTTTTTAAATTTCCCCTTTCTCCTATAAGCTGTCTTGTACCTGCCAACAACCAAAAAAAAAAAAAAAAAACAAACAACAATGCAAGAATAAATTTCTCTGGTTGAAAAACAACTTTGCAAACTTGTCAAACAGTCCCTGTGGCTTGCTGCCGCTTTAGCGGCCACCAGAACCACCTCCCTACCCACGTTCTCCGGCCTCTCCCACACCCCCCCAAAAAGACTCACGGAAAAAAAAGACACGGGGGGAAGGGCGCGCGAGAGAATTAAATAAATAAATGAAAAGGGAGAAACTTGAGCCTCAGAGATGAATATTTGTCAAGAGAGTTGACGTAAGTTTCATTTGCATAATGACTTTGTACTTCTGCATTAATAAAATTTGCATATGAAGCCATGTTAATTACTCCTGATCATGCTTTTTGCATTCATGCATAGTAATTTTCTCCGACTTGTGAGAATTAATGTCTTGGCATGGGGGGAGGGGGCGCGGGGACTGTCAGGTTCCCTTGCCAGTGTCCCTCGCTCACGTGCGCTGGCTCTCCTGTCTGTCTCCTTCCTTGATCTATGACTCATTTCTGCACTATCAGTAGGAGTTCTCGCCTTAAAAAAACGTATCCGTTAAAAGGCACCAGTAGGGAGAAAAATAGAGCTCTCCGCACAGCGTCTTCCAGGCCACCTCTAGCGGGGAACACGCAGTGTGCAGGCCCCCCACCACCCGGGAGGGGCGGGTGCGGGGAAGCCAGGCTCGCGTCCCGCGCGGACCGGCGCGGCCGTTTCCAGGCGTTTTTGTGTCTTCACGCTCCCGCCGGTGGGCGTGTCGCCGCAGTGCGCATGTGCGAAGCGTGGAGCACAGCCTCTGCTAGGCCAGGCTGGAGCGAGGTGGGCTCGCGAGCCCTTGGGAATGCCCCGTGCCCAGGAGGGCATTAGCAGTGATGTTATCCCTTGCTTTGGACCCTAAGAACTTCATGGCCTTATTTGGAGACTTTTTGGAACCCTCTTGTAGGTGATGCAAAGAGCAAGAAGGCAGAGTCTGACCCAAATGAGCCCAGTGGACCTGGGCGCCTTCTTGAGACTCCTGAGCCTCAGAATCCTCACTTGTGAGAGGGGGATCAGGACGACTCACACCCCTACCCCTGAAGGCTGTGGGCTTCCATGAGATGATGCAGGTAGTAATTGCTTATTTCTTTTTTTTCTAATTAAAACGAACTTTCATGACAAGAAATCGAGCCAGCCAGGGTTTTATTTTTAAGCCATCTGGATCCCACATCAAACAGGACTTGGTGTCCTTCTGCCACACACCTCCGTGCACGTGGGTTGTTTGGACTGTCACAGACCTCAAAAGAAAGCGTTTTAAACGATTTAAAAAAAAATTTTTTTTTTGAGGTGCTGAGGATTGAAACCAGGGCCTTACACATGCTAAGCAAGTGCTCTACCACTGAGCTGCATCCCCAGCCCAGAAAGCTTGTTTTAAAGAGTGCCTTGCTGGGCTTTGTATGGTACCCTCCTCCTCAGAAAGCAATGGTGAGATAGTAAGAAGCCCACCACAGGGGGCTGGTGGTAAGAGCACCTGCCTAGCAAGTGTGAGGTCCTGAGTTCAAACCCCAGTGCTGCCAAAAAAAAAAAAAAAAGAAGGATCCATAGGGGTTAGGAAGAGCTCCAGAATTGGAAATTAATGGAGAGTGACCATTTTTAATTTTTTTTTTTTTTTTGGTCATGAAGGATAGTAACCATGTTTACTAGATGCCTGGCTGTTTATTGCCCTGATCCTCCCTTTAAAAAGGAGGGAACTGAAGCTCTGAGGAAGTAACCATATTAGGGCATATACAGAGAAGGTGGCCTGGGATGTGTACTGAGGGCCAGAGACAAAGTCCTCATCTTTTGACTTTTTTTTTTCTTTTGGCAGTACTGGGCTTGAACTCGGGACCTCACACTTGCTAAGCAGATGCTCTACCCCTTGAAGCCATGCCTCCAGGCCTTTTTTGCCTTTATTTTTCAGATAGACTCTTGAGTTTTTGCCTGGCCTCAGACTTAGATCCTCCTACTTAGGCCTCCTGAGTAGCTGGGATCACAGGCATGTACCATCACACTGGGCTTATTCATTGAGATGGGGTCTTGCTAACTTTTTGGCTGGGCTGGCCTTGAACCTTTATTCTCCTAATCTCTGCCTCCTGAGTAGCTGGAATTACAGGCAGGAGCCACGGAGCCTGGCCTGATTTCTTTTAAAATTAAGATTCACATAACATAAAATTCATTTAAATTTGTCCCATCAGTGGTTGTGCATATACTCAAAATTTTGTGAAGTTATCACCACTAAGTCCAGATAATCTAATCCATCACCCCCTAAAGATAATTCTGTCCCATCAGCCTCACTCCCTGCTTCTGCCAGGAGTGACAATCACTATTCTCTGTCTCTGTGGATTTGCCTGCTCAGGATTCCATCCATGGTGGCTTCCTTCCTCACTTTCGACTTTTGCAGTAGCTATATTCCTTGAGTTCCACCTGTAGGCAAAGCTCTGGTATAAGCTGTCCACTGGGGACCCTCCCATAGGGCAGAGGATGCTCTGAGTCCCAGAGAGGCCTGACCCTGCAGCCCCTCCTCTGCCCCGAGCAGGCGGGCATCAGTGAGGTCAGCCTTCCTAACGAGGCCCTGTGACCTGTCGGGTCCACCCATCCACTACCCTATGTGCATGACTTTACCCTGGCAGACCTTGGCCTAGCCCCATCTTTTTCCTTTCCAGAAGGTGAAGTCTGTGACTAGAGGGCTATTTCCTTCCTGGTCCTGGCCCTCTTCCCATCAGAGGGACAGAGTTGGCTCCTGTTGTTCTTGGGACAACGGTCACCAAGTTGACTTCTCAGCCATGAGGAGTGGTGCTGGGAGTCAGTCTATAGACCCTTGTGGAGTGGGGTGTTCTCACTGCTGAGCTAGGCCACTGTCATGGCTACAGATGATCCTGGGCCCTCTGTGGTCTGGAAGGAGGGCCCCCATAGGAAATCAAGGCCAGTAGTGGACAGGGCCAAGTGTATAGTGTCTAGTGCTGGGGGCTTTCAGGCAAGGCTTCCAGAGGAGGCAGGTGACACTGGCCTCAGATGCTGACATTTCTTGGGGCTCTCAGTAAGCCTAGGGCATGGTGTCCACTCAGCCTCTTGGGCTGGAACTGCTCCTGGGTTCCTCTACCACACCCTTCCGAGGCTGTTGCTAGCTCACAAACATCCGGGCCTCTGGGCTAGCTGAGTACAAAGGCTTCACTGGTCCAGGGCCCTGAAAGTGTTGGTGTTAGCTTTGTTTGCCTCTTGGCAGGACATCAACTGTCCCTAAGCTCCGAGTTGAGGGTTTTCTCAGATGCTCTGATGCCCCTGAGCCCGTATTCATGTTTCAGAGAAGCATGAGGTACAGAGAAAGCCTTGGTTTGGGACTCAGGCAGTGGGATTTTAATGGGGTGGGCTGCTGGTAAATACAGTTTTCTGCAGTCTCTGCCTCTGTTTCCCCATCTGTGTAATGGGTGTTCTAAGTCCCTGTCCTCTTGGGTGTGTTAGGAAGCTCAGTTGCAGAAGACTGATAGGCTCCTGGCCTACAGTGGACTTGCAGGACCCTGTGGCTCACCTAGGATAGCGGAGTGGGCAGATCTCCACCTGTGTAGACCTGCACCAGGAGGTGAGGCGCTGTGGTCTCCCTGGTGGAGCCAGCCGGGCTCAACTGCCCGTCATCTTGTTGATGTTTTCTTTTTGTCTCTCTGATGCTTCCCTGCTCAATTATTTACCCAGGGAATTTGGGCTTCTTCACTTGTGGTTTTGGCAAGCGCTTCACACAAATGTTTTGCCCTGGTGGTCTCTTAGCCATGTAAGATAAACGGCCAAATCAAACGCAGGCCTTGCCGGCAGCCGAGGCAAACTGTGGTGCTGGGCGGAGGCGAGGTGGCCCAGCCAAGGCCCTGGTCTGGTCATTGCTGCCACTGTTGTTGTCAAGTGGGAGGGAGCAGGGTTTGGGCAGTGCCAGGTTGGCTTTCTTGGGGTGATGGAGGGAGGAGGGGGTCAAAGCCTTCTGACTGTTGCTAGGGTTTAGGTGCTGCTTGCTGGGAGCTGGGGAGAGGCCCCAGCTGGTGGTCAACTGGGCAGGAGGCTAAACAGAGCCCAGACCCTCAGAGGTGGCCTTGAAGTGGCCCAGGCCTGTTCAAAGAGCTCATCCTGATGTAGCAAACTGTGGTGACTCTGAGTTTCCTGGCTCTTTCAGAGAGGGGTGGCACTGATTTTTTTTGGGAAAAAAAAAATCTCAATTGGAACCTGTTCCAGTTCACTCCAGAAGACCTCTCATGGGAGGGATATTTCCTGGGAATGGGGTCCTGACAGTTGCTCTGTGTCCTCGCCCCCTGCACTAGGCTTCCGGATGCAGGGGTCCTGGTCCCCAGACAGCCCCACCTGGCAGCTGTGGATGTAGGACTCTCCTCAGTGTCCCCTGCCCACTTCCTTGAACCCTTTGTCCCTGCTTGTGTCCTGGCCGCCCTCCCTGTAGGGCCGCACCCTGGGGGCCTCCCACCCTTGAAAGCTGGCCCGCAGCCCTGTACCCCGGGCCCCTCCTGCACCCTGAGCCCCTTGTGCAGTCCAGAGCCCGACTGACCAGTCTTTTCTATTGTTTTTTCTCCAGGGCCGTGCAGGCCTGCCCAGCTGCCAGCGATGGCCCCCATAGCTGCCTCCTCCTCCCACCCTCACACATCCGTGATTACTTCACCTCTGCGTGCCCTGGGCGCTCTCCCGCCCTGCTTCCCGCTGCCCTGCTGCAGCGCGCGCCCCCTGTCGGGCGACAGGACTCAGGGTGAGGGTCAGACGGAGGCTCCCTTTGGATGCCAGTGTCAGTTGTCAGGTAACACAGCCGCCGCGGTGGTTGGGGGGGGTGGGCTCCCGGGATGGAGGGGTGTGCCCCGGGCAGAGCTGGGGACTGAGGTGGGGACCCAGGGAGGAAGTGCGACCCCCACCCAAAAGGCATTTTTGGGGGTACCAGGGGAAGTGGCAAAGGATGTCAATCAAACTGTAAACCAGTGCTGGGTCCCCAGGGGTTGGAGGGGGGGACTCATCACCTCCCACCCATCCTGAGAGTCTCACTCCCAGAATGCACTGCCCAGCCTGCAAATTTCATCTCTTTGGGCTGTTTAGCTAAAGCTTAATTGGATAACGTTTAACATCTGAGGTTTTCTTCTGCCCTTGCCTCTGCCCCTCTCCCCCCCGCCCCTACCCCCAGACAAGGCTAGAGAGGATTCCTCAGTTGTCTGTGTACATCGCCGGAGCCATCCAAAATGCTGAGTTTCTTTTTGGGACAATGTGTTGCCCATTAACTTAGAGGAAAAAAAATTGCTCCAAAGGAGCCTTTTAAAAACTTGTGGCCATGGGCGGGAGTAAAACACTGTGGGTGTGCGGGGGTGGGGGAGGTGGAGTAGGGGGTGTGCATTGATGCCAGGGTGCCTAGCACCCACTGTGTGCATGTCTGGCTCTGGGATGACCTCAGACCTGCACATCTGTGCCCACACCACTCCTTTGGCTCCCCTGGGAGGGCTGTGTGACTGCCCATTATACAGAGAGACAGGCAGGGCCAGGTGGTGGCACAGTCAGCGCCATCTCCTTGCTCTCTTCCCAGACAAAACCCAAACTGCTATGGCCTGGGTTCGTGGGCAGAGGCCCTCATTGCAGCCTGACAGCAGGGCCTGGTGTGCAAGTGCTGTGGCCACTGGAGCCAGGGACGCTGACACAGACTCACGTGGTGAGCAGCTGTGGCCTGGTTTCCGTGGTAGGGGCCAGGAAAGGAGAGGCTGGTTGCAGAGCTGGGGCAGATTCAGTTTGTCCCCGCTTTGTCACCAGGCATGTTGTAGGCTTTCTCTTGACTTGAGTTGTTAAAGGAAAACGATTTTTATTGGGTAGGTTTTGCTTTTCATTGACACTGTCCCAAGGGACAATTCTGCAAAAGGCCTCAGGTAGCCTCTGCTCTAGGGGAAGAGCTCCCTGGGTCTTCCTGCTAGTAGAGTGGCCTGCAGTCCTCAGTACCCCCCACTCCTATGACAGGTGGTAATGTCATAGGGTCTGGCTTCTAAGGAGGTTTTTCTTGTTTCTTACTGGGCTTATGTCTTAAATGCACAAAGCAGAACCAAAACTCACTCTGGAAGGAGTTGGGATAACTTGCAAAGGAGCAGCTTCCTGTCCTGAGTCACCTGGTCTCAGGGCAATTAGGACTTGAATCCTGGCCTGATAGATCTGTTCTGGGCATCTGTGGAAGACCCTGCTTGCAGAGTGAGGGATGTCTTCTCTTCTGGGTGGCTGCCCTGCTCTCATGGCTTCCTGTAATTAATGCTGCAGCCTGCAGCCACTCGGGGAGCCACGCTATCAAAGATCACTCTGAGTGTTTATGACTGGACTCAGTCAAGTTCTGCGTGTAGAAACACGAGCTTCTTGCCAGAGGCACACCGCTGGGGCTTGCTTAACCCTCTGTTGGCTCTGACCCTCCCTTGAAACTGTCAAAGTTGAGGAGAACTAGCAGGGGACTGAGCACTTCTGTAATGTGGCTTGACCCTCCTGGCATCATAGTATTGTGTAGCACCGAGCAGGAGCCATTTCTGTCCCCATTGTGCAAACACGGGGAGTGAGGAAGGCTCAGGGAGGGGGATGGCCGGGCCCAGATTACAGAACTGGGATTAGTCCTGCGGAGGTCTCCAGACAGACAAGGCCACTGTGTCTTCCTATGTCCAGCAGAGGACAAACAAGGTTTGCATTGCTTCGGCTTCTGGGGAACCCTGCCGGCAGACTGTCCTCACACACTCTACCCAGTTTCCTAGAATGATTGCATTTTGAGGGCCCATGATGCTCTTTTTTGCATAGGACACCACCTGTCATAGCAGTGGGGATACATTCCTGGCTGTAATCCTCACAGCAGCCCAAGGCTTCACTTTCCCTACTTTAAGGATAGCTTCAGAGACACTGAGGCCTCACTCACTCATTCATTTGCCCATCCTTCAGCTGGAATCCATTTCTTGGGCACCTAGTTTATAGGCCTGTGCACACACACAAACACAGGCAGAGGACTGCATGTGCGTCCCTACCAACCTACAACTTGCAGTCTGGTGGGGAAAAGAGGGCATGTGTAGTGAGGGTAATTTGAGGGGAGCACGAGCAGGTGGAGGGGAAGTGGCTCTCCTCTGGTACCTGCTTCAGTGCTGGCTTTGACTCTTCTGGCTTAGAGGCCGTCTTGGATTTTAGGGCTTGAGAACAGCAGCTCACAATTGATTGCAACGCAGTGGGGCAGGACGATGTCCCATTCCTGGGGTGGGGACTGCGGAGAACTTCTCCAGGAGCCCCTCCCGAGGGGCTAGTTCTTATTCCTGTCTCTCATTCTCATACCCAGGACCATTCTGCATTGTTAGACCCCCTTAATTAGCCTGCAGCAGGTTGTGCCACCATATTTTCTGATCAGTTTCAATACCTGAAAATACCCAATTCCAGTGGTTTTTGTCCCTTTGTGGTTTCTGTCCCTGGCACTGGGCTGTTTGCTTAAGTGTTTTTAGTGCTTGTTTAATTAGTAGTGGGATTGGGTCATTAAATTCCCAGTAACCCGTTAGGAAGAAGCGGTCCGCCGGAAAGGTGGAACGGGGCTGCCGTCCTTACTTTGTTTTGCCCCTTTCAGATCAGTATGCATTGAACCTATCTCTTCAAATTAATACGGAAAACCCCAGTGTAAACGTGTTTCACACAGGTTAATTGCATGCCCGTGAACGCATCCTGGGGTATTTATAGAAGGGTGTGATTTTATGGGAGAGAAAACCGCACAGGTTTGCCTGTTTGTGTGTGCACATCCCAGGCCAGCGGTATCCCAAACAGCCCCTCCTTTTGGGCCCTCTACCCCAGTCCTCCCTGTGATGGTCACAGTGGGAGAAAGGGACATGTGGCCTGTCTCTTTTGGACTCTGCTGAAATCATGAGGGGCTTTGAGTCAAGGCACTTCCAGAAACTGAATGGTCTTCCCTGAGAAGTTCCACCTAGGGGACTGGCCAAGGTGGCTGTGGAGTCAGGCGTCCCAGCCTGTGGTCCTGGTACCCAGTCCATCTGGCCAGTGGCCTTCAACTTGTCATTCTCCTTTTTGAGTCTCAGCTTCCCTTTTTGGGAACCCCCCCCCACATTATATATATATATATGAAAAACCTTTAAAACCCAGGCTCCTCATAGTGATCCCCCAGAACAGATGAGTGTGGGGCTGCTGTGGAGGAACTGGGAATGGATCTTGGCTAGTGTTCCAGGGCAGGGGCTGGGGTGCTCAGGAGACAACTGAAAACCACTGGGCTTTCTTCCTGCTCCCAACCCTTCCCTGTTGTGAGCCTTTCATAATTGAAAGGTGGTCATCAGAATGTATCAGACTGCTAGGGGGTGAAGTGTGTTAGCTATGTGGCCTCAGACAAGTCATTTTCCCTCTTTGTTCCTCTATTTCCCCATCTGTAAAATGGGTACCATGACCGTACATGATTTGAGGGCTGTTCTGAAGATTTTGCATGAGGTCATACTGGCCAGGTGCTGGGAACATTGCCCTGTACTAAGCGAGCTCCATAGAAGTTATGATTCACGCACGAGCAGACTGGGTTTCACAACATGACAGCATTACGTGTCTGGCACCGTGTAGGATCTTCCTTTAAGCTGCATCCCCAGTTTCCATGCTTAAAGGCATCTAGCCTCTCAGCTGGCTCATGGGTGGAAAAGGAACGGAGACACTCCATTGCATATTTAAAAGCTGAAAATGGTCATCAGCTAGAGTGATTAATATATGCGCTTGGTGAAATTCAAGGTCTCACGCAAGAACACACAGGATCCCGGCTCGGGAAGTGGAAGTGTTTGGGTTTAATAGAGGGAGTCAGTTGCAGTCATTAGTATATGCTGAAATCACAGGGCAATCTTGTAAAGTTAAATTCAATTTACTTTTCTACTGAAATTGTGCTTGCTGTGTTATTTAACTAGTCTGGGGTTTCTTGGCATGGGTTGAAGGGACAATAAAGATAAAAGAATACCTGTAAGTAAATAGTAGGGTTTAACAGTAGAATCTATCGTTTTCTCCTCCTTCAATTATATCCCAGTGTTCATTTTGTGTTGGTTTTATAATGGAGCCGTCCAATGGGATGCTGTGGATTAGACCACCCTAGCTGTAGGGGCAATTAATACAGTCTGTCTGGAAGGCGGCCTTATTTCTGGAAGTTTTATGTTAATGATATGGTCTGCACTCCGCGCATTTCATACCAGAACGAGAAGCGAGCTGGAGTTTCTTTCTGGACTGGGTTTGATTAGCAGCCGAGAATCAGAGTTCAGCCACTTGCGGTGCTGAGCTGTGGCCCTGCCGGTGCGCTCCCTCGTTCTGGTGCAGGGGGTGCCAGAGGCACCTCAGAGGGGTGTTTGGATCCTCCACTGAGACTTGGAGGGAGGAGAGGGTGTGGGAGTGAGGAAGAAAAGATGGGTGAGAGAGAGGGAGGTGTGGGGGCAGAAGACCTCCTGCTGGGGAAGGTGGGGACTTGGCTCAGGGGATTCCTTTAGCTGAGGAATGTTTTGTTGTTGGGGTCTTTCCGGGCTCACCAGTGTCAATGGGGTGGCTCACTGTGGAAAAAGGGCTTTCAGGGAAGTTATTAAAAATTTAGAGAGTCATCTGTGTGCCTTGCAATGACTACATTGCCAAAGGGGCTGGTGGCCCCCACTCTCACCGCCAGCATGTACGGTGCTGTCTGCAGCTCCTGCGTGCCAGCTTCTGAACTTTATGCTGGTGTCTGTTGTGTCTCGGGATGGCACCGCTGCAAAGGCTGCCCTCCACCACCTGCCTGGGACCCAGACGCCACCTTCTGTGGCTGGAGGAAGTGCCAGGAGGAGCTGTGGAGAGCTGCAAGGTCCCCAGAGTGCTGCAAGCCAATCTCCAGGGTGGTGGAGGTAGCCGAGGGTGGCAGGGCTTTGGGGGACTCTAAAACAGTCCTCTGTCCACGAAGCTGGAAAATCGCCTCTTCTTCAGCAGCAACAGAGGCCAGAGGAAGAACTGCGTTGCTGCCCAGTAGGGGCAGGACACCATCAGAATGACTGTCCTCAGATGAAGGCGGTCCCAGTGTGCTGGCGTGGACGCCACTGCAGCCTCACCAGATACCATTTCACCGTCCGAGCCGGCCCTTAAGACCTTCTGAAGGCAGAGCTAAATCAAAGAATTCTGTTCAAATCCGTACAAGATGTTGCTGTTTTTCTGCTCTGACAGGAGAAGCATTTGGAAGTGCAGTTTCTTTCTTCCTTTTTTTTTTTTTTTATAGCTGTCTTAAAAAGGAGTTTGGCTGTTTAGCACAGCTGGTGCTCATTACATTATGCACTGGCTATAAAATAGCATGTGTAATTAATTTTTAATGCAGCGCTGGATGCAGCGCTTTCAAGCAGTTAGTGGATGTGAAGAACCAGCACTGGCCACCGACATCAGAGACCTCAGAGCAAGGCAGCCACGTTGTCCTTTCTAGGGAATTTGAGAGTGGAAGAGGAGGCTGGGCTCTGCCCTCCAGGAGGAGCCGACCAGTACAGAAGTAGTTCACACTGGGTGACCTGAGGCTCAAGTCAGTCTCTCATGATCCAGGGTATTAGGTCATCTCATATGGCCACCTTCATTATCTAGATGGGGAAACTGAAGCAGACAGTGGGAAAGATGTTACAAGACATAGGTGGGAGAGCTGACTTGGACTTGTGTCCCGCGGGTTCTGCCCACTAGTCAGTACCGCCCTTCTTGAGTTCACACTGAAAAGAAGAAAAAGACAACCCATTATCTAGCAAAAACTAGCTGGAAAAAACTGATTTCTGAGTTACCCTGAGGCTTAGATAGAGTTTTGACAATGAGGAGATCCCCTAGAATCCTGTTTTGCCATCTGCAGTGGCACATTCCCTACTTTTGAGAACTTCTGTGGCTGCACCTTGATCACTGGCTGCCCTTAGGCTCCATGCATGGATTTGTATTTGAATTAAATGTCATGATCCACATGTGTTAGCTGGAGTGCCACAGACAGTGGGAAGCCGTAAGAGGGGGCAGCTATCTTTGTTCCTGTTCTCAGAGCAAATGGATGTGAATGTGTGACCTCAGGTTGGCCATTTCTTCCCTCCAGGCCTCAGTTTCTTCACTTGGAAAATGGAGGTAGCATCAGTACCTATTCACCACCCATCCATTTAGTGGATCCAGGTCCACTGAACAACTGCCATTGGAGCGTGTTCTCTGTGGATCTCACCCATGCACGTGGAGAAACAGAGAAAGAAGGCAATCGAGAGGGTTAGGAATGGAGGTAGTCTGAGCTATTGAAAAGCACTGTGATGCTGTGGCCTTGGGCACTGAGCCTGATGCTGACTGCTCTGCCATCTCTGTGATAGTCCTTTGCCTGGGAGTTTCTTAGCATGAATATACAGGGAGGAGGAGCCTTTATCACCAGTGTTGTTGCTGTCTACTAAAGAACCTACTATGTGCCAACACTGCCTTGGGCACAGAATCCTATCCTCATGTTGGGCATAAGAAGAGGCAACCCTCACCCTTGGCCCATCAGGGTAGTGGGCCCACCCAGGGTCACCTCAGAGCTGAAGAGTTGGACCCAGGTTTCCTTGGCCTCGAAGCTGTCACCTTTCACTCCTGTTGGACTGCAGTGGCTACTTGGACACAGGCAACAGAGATGGTGGGAAACAACTGCACACTCAGACATCATCCCTGGGAGGATCACCTAGATCATCCTTCATTTCACTGCTTGTGCCAGACCCTGGGCTAGAAGTGGGGTAGGGGGAGAAATGAGCCAGATGGGGTCCTTGCCTTAGGGGAACCACAGTCGGTGAGGCACCTACCCACGGGAGGCC